CTGTACGGGCGCGTTTCAGCTCATCTCAGCGTGACACACCGTAGTACAGAACCACAGGTCTAACCAGATCCAAACCACTCAACCCCGTGTGACCCTTCTCACATCCACCTGCTGTATTTGCTGTGCAATCGACGCGGGCAGAGATTTTTCAGGAGCGCGTTCCGCTGCACAGGCGCGGGGCTGACGGAGCCCATCCCGTTACCTCACTGACGCTCGGGAAGCGAGGAACACAAATTCAGTCTGGTAAAGGGCGTTTCACCGGTTGTTCCCCAATACTGTTACTGAATTCCGTTTGCTACAAAATGTCCTTTCCCCTCCCCACCCCCCCAATATATAAGTCTAGCTACAGAAAGTCAGTCTGTAGAATCCAGCCATGGCTACTGTGCTGTGAATTAGCCTTATTTGATCAATTATCAGATACCTGCACTTAGCAAAAGGCAAACAAGAGCCAATCGGGTTTTGGCTGGTGGGAATGGCTGCACACGTGGAATCTGTTCGCACAACGTGCAGAATCTCCGTGGACGCCACGTAAAAAGTATGCACTGCTTACTGCTCTGGGATGGAGTGGGCTTTCAAGGGAGAGCATAATTTAACTGAGAAGAAAGGAAAAAAGCAAAAAAAACAACCCAAAACCAAACCCTGATAGGTTCCTTATAGTAAGATAGATATAAAAATTTTTCATAAGAATCTCTGTCCCCCTTTCTTTTTGGCTTCCTGGGAAGAACCAGAAAGGTGTTCCTACCCGAACAGAATCCCTGATGCTGGTGACAGTGCCCAACTCAAAAGCCACACGCGATGAAGGCACGAGTGACCAGTCAGGTCTTCTGGGCTGAAGAAGCTGCAGTTGCTGCTCTTGGTAGTATTTCACCCCCTCAGGATTCACTAGCAGTGACGAGGTGAAAGGCTGCACATCAAACAGTTTGTCCGAAAGCCGTGTGCATAGCAAACTCTTACACCAGCTTCTATTCAACTACTTGTTTTAACTCTGCAGCTGGAATGTTTCCAGCGTAAGGCTTTTAGAGTGACTCCAGCAATAACAGAAGCCTTTGGATTTTTCTTGTTTCGTTTAAATCCACTAGCCATGCTCAAAAATAATTATTTCTCCATGGTTTATTTTTATACGGTGGCTAGCAGGCACCTCAGTAACCAGCCAGAAATCAATGTCAACCACCATCAACCCCTAAACTACAGTACCAGGATGGTTGGCTAAAGAAAGGAAACTGATTGGCTGTAGTCTGAAACTTGCCTAGTACAAGGTGTCTGGCTGACTTTGTCCTAAATAAGGCTAACATTAGTGAACTAAGAGAACAGCATTTTGGTTGCAGTCTTGCACTCAGGAACATCCTTCGCCAATGCGTTGGCAAGATCTCCCTACTTTCCGATCCAGTTTCACCATTTTCATAATGGCTTCCTCGCGCCCACGTCCCATGTGGTCAAATGTGCAGTCGTGTTGTTCGGGCAGGCGATGTAACATGCAGAACACGTAGCCTACCGTGGAAAGGGAGAGAGAAAAACCACACAGTTAGGGACTTGGTTAAAGCGGCAGGACCTTACCTGAGTCAGACACAAAGGGTCACCTGCTGGGGGTGATCAGAAACGAATGCCAGCTTTATTACTGATCTTCCTTACAGGGGATTAGTAAACATCTGATTATTTACTGCATCTTCTTGCGTATTTATCAAGACAGCATCAAACCTCAAGTCATTAGCTCTGGAATTTTTTTTTGCCATCCTCTCATCTTACAGGGGAAGCCCCCAGAGTCGTCTAAAGGAGGTATGCCCAGGTAGTAACAAAGCTGATGTTCAGAAAAACCCAAAGCCGATCACCTCAACTGAAGTCTTTTCTACTGAATGTGGAGTTGGTTGTCATTTCTGAGGTTCGTGCCTGTGGTACCCGTGATTCAGCTCCCAAGCAGGCACTGAGGCCAGAACGGTTAAATCTCAGCACCTTGCTTCCTCCTTCCTGCTAGCACCCCGAGTCGGCAGTGACCCAGGGCGGGTTCCCTACTCCATTACCGCTCCAGTTTCAGCAGCTTCTCTTCATGAACTGCTCTGACACTCAGCACGGGGGGGCCAACAGGCATTTGACACAGGGACATGTCATGCCACATCCTCTCGCTCTGTAGCTGAAAAGACGTAGGTTCTTGTCTCTTTGTCTAAAGCTGGTCAGTGTTACTCCGTTTTCCAGGGAGCATGGGATTCAGAAGCACACTGCCTGCAGGCAGGGAGGGCATCTCAGTAGCTGCCTCTTTCTAGTCTGCAAAGAAAATCAGCTTTTCTCTTATTTGGCCCTAACACTTCATAACAGCAAAGAGATTGCCTCGAATTTCGTACCTGTAAAATGAATGTTACCTAGTGATAAGCAGTATTAAGGTGATGAAGTAGGGAAAAGAGTTACAGGGTTCCTATAGCCCACCGGATACGAAACGAAGTACAGTATCGCCTGTGCCGCAATATTTTTCCTGCCTGATGGTGCCAAGAGCATCACTCTGCCTCTGACCGAATGTTTTACATGACTGTGCTCCCTGAATGCTCAAAAGATCTTAAATCCCCAAAGTGATGAAATTTGAGATGGAAAAGGATAAAAATGAGCAAATGATTGAGAGTGTGTTTGTGCATGTATATATAAACGCACACACGTATATAAAAACGTGTGTACACTATTTCAAGCTCCTGGACTATAAAACATCAGTTGTAGGAGAGAACAACAGGCCACCTTTATGTTAGCGTCATCGTTAAGAAAACGGGAAGGAAAAAAGTATCACACATGGAATTATTGAAAAAAAATAAAAGAGTGGAGAAAAACTGATTCATCTTTGCTCTGTGTTTCAACAGCAGCAGCTACGAAAAGGCACGTCTGTTATCTGGGGCTGGCTCTGCGACCCCGCTCTAGGGACAAAGCAAGAAAGACCAGTTTTCTGTGTATATGGGATTCAGAAATATGGATGGGAAGATGCAGGTTAAATTGATAGATATCTCGCCCTTTGAGATCACGGCCTCCACTTCAATCTCAATCTGGGTCATATGACGCTCAAATGTGACAAATACCTTTCTCGAGGTGCCAAAAATTCAAGGTCTGAATGTTAAGATGAAAACACCCCGGGACTACAGTTTCAGTACTGAACAGGCATTTCCCTCCGTTCTCTTACAGAAAGCCTGGACTGCAGGCTTCCCTTATTTCTTGGAATAAGACTTCAAATCACAGAACCAACACCCACTGCAGCACAGGGTTACGTAAATACCTGACTAAGTGAGCACAAAAATCAAGCTGTTCATCTTATCTGCAGTGGGTAAGAAAGAAGCAGACGCAAGAAACCCCGCAGGTACAGAGTGGGCTGAAGTCTTCTCAGTCCCTTGTAGGTTAATAAAGGGTTTAAACCCTGATGGCTGTACAGCTCCTCTCCACATGGTTAACAAGCACATGGAGAAATGCCATCTCGGAGACATCTTGAACACGTACACAATCTCCTACAGGGCTTCAGCAAGACCCTTTGGACAATTCTATAAATCTGCTAAGAAAATACACATGCAACATGATTTGTCACTTGCCCTTCCAATTGCTCCATCTCCTCACCACCCACAAAGCCTCCCGCCTTCTGTAGGCCAGTGCAGCTTCATGATGTTCCTTCCTACTTTGCCACCCTGCCAATACGGTCTATTCTGTGCTTTGCCATGTCTTCATTTCTATTCTAGAACACCTTTTAGTTCTTTCCAGAGCTCCTGTTTTCACGCAGGAAAAGCTATACTGCGTGCTGTTTTTATTCCGAATGAAATATATTTGTTTTTTCTGTTCGACAAGCGTTTCCTTTTGCATTCTGGAATGTCATTTCAGTAACTGGCCACCAAGAATGGCAGGGGATTCTCATTTTCCCAGACTATGAGAAAAGTATTTCTAATTTCAGCAACTTAGTGATCTAAACCTGTTATTCATGTATCTATTTCAATAAGTACAGCTAATTAGAACTGATCATACCCAATGAAAGAACACCCAAACCCATTTTGAACACTGCTAAAGACAGTTTTGCATATACTGGCTGTTCTTATGGAGGGGGTTTGTTCTTGTTGAATTAGCAATGGGGATATTCTGTAAGTCTCATTTCCAAGAGAGACTTCAGATCTCTAGTCCCATTGTTCCAAATGAGTTAAGTCACTATAAAGACTGGCACCTGTATTTTTGTGGGTTTTAAATTTAAAATGTAAAGGACTTGAATACTGTTACACAGTTGAGTAACAGCAGTTCTGAACATTTTTTCATTAATTCAGAGTGGATATATTCAATTAAGGTATTACTGCTATATTCAGTCCTTGCTTCTTTGCTGGTCTGGACATCCGAGCGGACATTCTGTGGTCTGCATGTGCACAAAGCCTGATGCCACATCAAGACCTTCAGTTTTTACAGCAGTTCCACTCAACTTATGTGCACTGGGGCACAAGGCCAACATATGTACTTCTATTTGGATCCGTAAACCCCATCCAGACTTAGAGGTAAAGCCTTTTCTCCTGAGAACTCTGCTTTTATGGTTATAAAGCAAGAGAGATAAATGAACTCTTGCAGTGTATGTACTGTTAAGTTCATTATGGAAGATACCAAATACCGGTTGTCTCCGTTAAAAATGCTTCTTTTAGCACATTATAACTAAAAGACAAAATAACTTTGTGCTAGGGGAAAGAGCACTGGCAAAGGGAATCCATCTGCCAACTAAAGTTAGTTTACCCTAGTCATCAACCAAAAATATGCCAGACTTCCACTCCAAGCATTGATTTCAGTCTAGTAAATGTAATACATCTCACAGCACTGCAATTACTGTTTTCTGATGTTAGAGGTGAACTAGGAATTGCCTACTCCTTGGGTCTCTAATGCAAACAATCCTGGAAAACCATTACGTAGTGCCTCAAAACCCTTGAGCTCCTCTAAGCAACCCAGAAACCACCTCAAAATAGATCACCAAAACTTCCATTTCATCACAGCATGAATGGCTAAAGCCATAGAGCAGTGTGGCACCTCTGCCTTACCTGTACCCATACAGATGGGTCTTTTCAAAAAATCATAATTCAAAGGAAGTCTCAAGATCACATGCAATCAACTGTGAAGTTGCTTTCATCATTCCTGAGCAATCTGCTGGGAAAAGGTGATTGGAGAGGACAGAAAAGAAAATAATCTTCCATATTCCAGACAAGAGAGTACCCAGACCTACAGTTTGCTGTGTGGGGATGATGGTGAACAATGGCTGCATTTTCCTCACTGTTCATTCCAGAGCGCTGGCTGGTCATACTGAGCGTACTGACGGAGAGCACAGAATGACAATAAGCAAATATTTCAGCTAAAACCTACATTTAATTCTTAACTTGTTCTTCAAATTCTGAAAACAGTAAGCTGCTAAAATACCAATAAAATGATATGTGAAGCATCAGAAACAATTTAACTAAAGGGCATAATAATCCACAACACGAAGCCAAACTGTAATTTTGGAGGGTGCCTGATTTTGCTAAATTGCTTTTTTCCCCTCTTAACAGAAAGCAGCCAAGACTTTCTGCAACACAGGACAAATGCCCAACAACTAGATTACCGCAAACTACTGGTGAAGAAGCACAACACACTGGTGGGACTACTGTAGTGGACATCCCTGGCCAGGCATCCAGCAGTCCCGGACTCCTCTAATGTACCGCTGGAGAACACCCCACTGCTATCTAAAATACATAATAAATATCATGATCCCTGTTAGGTGAATGGCATCGGGATAGAAAGAAGCTCCTTTTGCTCCCACCCAAAGATTCTCGTCCTGATCTCACTGATGAGGCATTCAGAAAGCTGCTAAAGGAAGACAGATTTGTTTTGTTTGTGAGCATGTTTTGAAAATTGCCAGAAGTGCCAAATAAGCTTATAAAATATTTGTACAGCTTACACGTTTACAAAGTGGCTTAAAAACATTTAAAAGCGTCCACGTTTGAAACACCTTGATGTATGTTACCTAAAAAGTAGTTGCACGCTGCTGCAGTTACCCGTAATAACTGCCTGATATTCAGTATATTCATACTTTTTGGGCTTTTTTTTTAAGAATAGAGAGCACTTTTGGACTCTGCCATGCAGAGGATGTGTTGTCATATGGCAGATCCATCCGCTGAAGAAAACAGAACCCCACTTACGCAGAGGCACGTGTTTGCATTTCTGCAAGCTAAGCCATCCACATAGCATTGCTGACAATAAAGGATGAAGCCTTTCATGACCAAGTACCATCAATCATCTTAATTGTTCGAGCTAGGCACTGATGTTTTCCTTGCATGCAGTGACCGCTCTGGAAGTTTAGCCTTAGACACTGCAGTGACCCCCTGTAATTCAGAGAAGCTCCCACTGGTAGGTAAAGGCAGGTGTGGTCAGTATTACCACACAAAATCAGAGCTGCTGACGCTTTAAACTCATCTCACCTGCCCAAAAAGTGCTGCTATTTATCACTTTCCTTCCCCAGTCAAAAGGCAGAAGTTCAAAACTGC